GCTGGTTAGCGTAGCAAAGGGATAGTCAATTTACATGTTTGTCTATTATTAGGTAATATGCCCATGTTTCTCCCAAGAAGGTTTAAAAATAGGTTTCAGCTCTTACCTATGGGCCTTTGATTCATGTTGGGTTATTTTCTGTGTATGTAAGGTGTAATATAGGGGTCCAATGTTATTCTTTTCTCTATGGATATTCATTTGTTTCAGAACCATTTGTTGAATAGACTATTTTTTCCATTAAATTGTCTTGGCATCCTTGCCTGGTATTAATTTGTCATAAATCTAAGGGCTTATTTCTAGATTCTCAATTGTGTTTCATTGATCTATAATTCTGTCCTTATCGGGAATACCACACTGTCTTGATTACTGTAGCTTTGTAGTAAGCTTTGAAATTGGGAAATGTGAGTCTTCCAACGTTATTCTTTTCTTTCAAGTTTATTTTGGCTTTTCTGGGTCCTCTGTATTTCCATGAGTTTTAGAATCAGCTTGTCAATTTTTTTCAAAAATGGCATCTGGAATTTGATGTGGATTGTGTTGAATCTGTAGATCAACTTGGGGAGTATTGTCATCTTAAGTCTTTCAATCCATCAACACAGGATTTCTTAACATTTATTTAGTTCTCCATTCAGTGTTGTGTAGTTGCAGATTATAACTATTAACATTTCTTTTGTTAAATTTGTTCCTAAGTATTTTATTCTTTTGGATACTACTATAATGGAATTATTTTCTTAATTTCAATTTTGTACTGCTCATTGATAGTGTATAAAAATACAAATGGTATTTTTGTATATTGAGTAAATTATGTTTTAACGTCAAACTAATCTGATGTTAATGTAGACAATAAACTCAAGAAACAACTTACAGTAGTATAACTAACTTCCTATTTGTACAGTTTAGGGTGAATTGCCTAGGAATCTCCATAAGTACCTTCTTTCTCAAAGGTAGAAATGCTTATTTCCCACAATACTTTGTATGAACAAATTCTGATTCCTTTTACATTTTCTCTAATTTAAATTTACCTAGGTTCTGCTAAATATAAAGTGAATTGGTGTTGGTTTGTGGATTTGTTTTTTAAAAATATATTTTTATTATTATCAGAGAGGAAGGGAGAGGGGAGGGATAGAAACATCAATGATAATAATCATTGATTGGCTGCCTCCTGCACACCCCCTACTGGGGACTGAAAATTTCTGCTGAGAAACCAGCTGGGTGCTTTCTTATAGGTAACTAACTGCTTTTCTCTTGCTGTTTTTAAGATTCTCTCTTTACCTTCAACCTTTGGCACTTTAATTATGATGTGTCTTTGTGTGGGCATCTTTGGATTCATCTTGTTTGGGACTCTGCACTTCCTGGACTTCTAAGCCTATTTCTTTCTTTAAAATATATATATATATATATGTATTTTATATAATACCATTAATATATATTGTTATTTAATACCATTATATATATAATACCATTATATATATTAAGTTATTTAATATAATATATATGTGTATGTATTATATACTAGAGGCCCAGTGCAAGAATTCATGCACCAGTGGGGTCCCTTGGCCTGGCCTGCAGGATTGGGCTGAAACCGGTTCTCTGGGATCTCCTGGTTCATAGGTCAATGCTCAACCACTGTGCATATGAGCTGGGCTGAAATTGCTTTTTTAAAATGAAAAAATAAATCACCTGTTTAAAATACTCAGAAATGTACTTCAATCTGGGTATTTTTTATGAATGTGTGAAAAAGTTTAAAATTAACCTTCACCATAATTAAGTGTAGTAAAAATAAAAATTATTGATAGTGATAGCTCAAAAAATGAAAATTGTTAAATGACATTAAGGCAAATATTGTAGTCCTTGATTAGTTTTAGGATTTTCCTTTTCTTCCTTTCTTTTGTTCTTTATTGGAAAGTGAGTTTTATGTAATCGATGTGGAAAAATCAACTCATGTCAGATATTTGCCATCCTTGGATAAGGGTGCAGAAAGGACAGTAAGAATATGTAATTTTCTGTTTCACTGTGAAGCTCATTCATGTATTTTATTTATACATTCATCAATCATCTATTGAATGGCTACTATGTGATACATACCAGGAAAATTCAACTCCAGTTCTGTCTGGCTTCTCATAAGCCAGTAGCTCTAGGACATGTTGTACTTAATATTTCACAGCTGTGAACTCCATTTGTATTAGAATTTCAAATATTTTAAAGTAAAATGAGAAGTTTATAATTTTCCACATTTACTTTTAATTTTAATATGCCAAATGATCTAATTCTCAGATCAAGTTATTAATCAATATGCATATAATCAATCCATTTAAAATGTCCCTTCAGACTATGCTTTATTTTTAAGGGTAATATATATATATGTGTGTATATATATATATATATATATATATATATATATGGTTTTATA